AAAAAAAAAAAAATTAGCCGAGTGTGGTGGCGGGTGCCTATAATCCTAGCTACTAGGGAGGCTGAGGCAGGAGAATCGCTTGAACCTGGGAGTCAAAGGTTGCAGCGAGCTGACATGGTGCTACTGTACTCCAGCATGGGAAACAGAGTGAGACTCTGTCTCAAAAAAAAAAAAAAGAAAAAAAATAAAATTGTTAAGTTCCATAGGCTCTGTAATGTATACTTTTCACACAGATTTGAGGAAGAAAATATTAAAAGCAAGTGAATTTGCTTATGACGAAAGTATTATTTGAAAATCTAGATTTATAATTCAGATAGAAAAATTATTTACAAAAATTATGCCTTTTCAAAATACTTTTTACAAATTATTTTAGAATATATTATGTTGTTATTATATTTAGTGTTTTATAAATTTATCAGGAAAAGCAAGTGTATCTCTGTAAAATTTGTCAACAAATATATTGTCTCACAAATTATAATTTAATTAAAGAATAGTTGCAAATGTCTTACACAGATTCAGTATTTGTAGGTTTTCTGGATCTGTAGTTCAATCCTCATGTTTGGATTATACAAGCAAAATTTTATAGTAAGTGAATGTACTAAAATATTAAAATGTCATTTAAATTTTAAAATTAACAGAAATAAAAGTTTCATACATTTTTGAAATGTATGAAAATATACACTAATATAGAGACTATATTACTAATACAGAAACATACTAATACATACTTATATAGAGACATACTAATATAGAGACTATATATTATTTAACTTATTTTGAATAGAAATGAAATAAAGCAATCATCTAGAAATATCTAGAGGCTATTAATACTTAAATTAGAAGAAAAACTAATTGATTTAAATACATGGAAGAATAAAGCAAACCCAAAGACACATGACTCTTAAGAAAATTACAGTGCTGAAGGTGCTCCAAGATGCTCCCAATTACATACCCATCTCTCATCAGCAAATTCTCATCCCAAAAGCTGGGGAGGAATTGAGCCAGTTGATGTATGGGCACAACAACGTTTGGGCCTTCAACTCAGGCAATGACTCCACATTTTCTTTTGACCTTTGAAAACTCTTCTCTACAAAATGAGGGCTTTTATATTGATTCCTTCCAAGAGGAAGACATAGTTTCCTGCCCTGACTCCTTCCTCCCTGCTAATAGAACTGCAGGTTTTCTTTTTGTGTGTGATTCTTTTTTTTTATTGCATTTTAGGTTTTGGGGTACATGTGAAGGACATGCAAGATTGTTGCATAGGTACACACATGGCAGTGTGGTTTGCTGCCTTCCTTCCCCTCACCTGTATCTGTCATTTCTACCCAAGCTATCTCTTCCCATCTCCCCACCCCCCGTCCCTCCCCCATTTCCCCCCAACGGACCCCAGTGTGTAGTGCTCCCCTCCCTGTGTCCATGTGTTCTCATTGTTCAACACCCACCTATGAGTGAGAACATGCGGTGTTTCATCTTCTGCTCTTGTGTCAGTTATCGGAGAATGATGGTTTCCAGGTTCATCCATGTCCCTACAAAGGATACGAACTCATCATTTTTGATGGCTGCATAATATTCCATGGTGTATATGTACCACATTTTCCCTATCCAGTCTATTATTGATGGGCATTTGTGTTGGTTCCATGTCTTTGCTATTGTAAACAGTGCTGCAATGAACATTCATGTGCATGTGTCCTTATAGTAGAATGATTTATAATCCTTTGGATATATACCTAGTAATAGGATTGCTGGGTCAAATGAGAGTTCTATTTTTAGGTCATTGAGGAATCGCCACATTGTCTTCCACAATGGTTGAACTAATTGACACTCTCACCAACAGTGTAAAAGTGTTCCTATTTTTCCATATCCTCTCCAGCATCTGTTGTCTCCAGATTTTTTAATGATCGCCATTCTAACTGGTGCGAGATGGTATCTCAATGTGGTTTTGATTTGCATTTCTCTGATGACCAGTGATGATGAGCATTTTTTCATATGTTTGTTGGCCTCCTGTATCTCTTCTTTTGTAAAGTGTCTGTTCATATCCTTTGCCCATTTTTGAATGGGCTTGTTTGTTTTTTTCTTGTAAATCTGTTTTTGTTCTTTGTAAATTCTGGATATCAGCCCCTTGTCAGATGGGTAGATTGCAAAAATTTTTTCCCATTCTGTTGGTTGCTGATTCGCTCTACTGACTGTTTCTTTTGCCGTGCAGAAGCTGTGGAGTTTGATTAGGTCCCATTTGTCTATTTTGGCTTTTGTTGCCATTGTTTTTGGCGTTTTGGTCATGAAGTCCTTGCCTACACCTATGTCCTGAATGGTTTTGCCTAGATTTTCTTCTAGGGTTTTTATGGTGTTAGGTCTTATGTTTAAGTCTTTAATCCATCTGGAGTTAATTTTGGTGTAAGGTGTCAGGAAGGGGTCCAGTTTCTGCTTTCTGTACATGGCTAGCCAGTTTTCCCAACACCATTTATTAAACAGGGAATCCTTTCCCCATTGCTTGTTTTTGTCAGGTTTGTCAAAGATCAGATGGTTGTAGATATGTTGTATTTCCTCTGAGGCCTCTGTTCTGTTCCATTGGTCTATGTCTCTGTTTTGGTACCAGTACCATGCTGTTTTGATTACTGTAGCCTTGTAGTATAGTTTGAAGTCTGGTAGTGTGATGCCTCCTGCTTTGTTCTTTTTGCTTAGAATTGACTTGGCTATGCGGGCTCTCTTTTGGTTCCATATGAAGTTTAAGGTATTTTTTTCCAGTTCTGTGAAGAAGGTCATTGGTAGCCTGATGGGAATAGCGCTGAATAAAATACCTAGGAATACAACTAACAAGGAACATAAAGGACCTCTTCAAGGAGAACTACAAGCCACTGCTCAATGAAATAAGAGAGGACACAAACAGATGGAGAAACATTCCATGTTCATGGTTAGGAAGAATCAACATAGTGAAAATGGCCATACTGCCCAAAGGTTTTCTTTTATTGAGGCAGTAGGTCCCTGTCCCTGGAAGCTCAGTCATGATGTTCTAAACCTGCCAGAGTAAACCCATTTACTCTTTGCCTGTGATTATTTGGTAAGTGAGCAGGCCGCCCTGTGGCGGACAATGAGACATAATGTGAAGTCTGTTTGCAGCTTTTAGGAAGGATTTTTATTCTCTGATAAAAGAAAGACAGCTATGAGAAAAAGGTCTCTTTGGCACATATCCTTTTACTCTTTTTTAAAAATCATGTTGTGTCAGCTATCACGGAACCACAGGCTATGCGGGTCCTAGGGAGGGAATGAAAAGCATGGATGGGAAGAGACAAAGGGTTAAGGAAAGAGAGACTGAGGATCATAAGGGAGAAGAGATTAAGAGACAGGGAATGTGAGAGCCTGAGGGTGAAGTGGGAATGAAAATAAGGGGCAGCTAGTCGAGACTTGGTGAGTGGGGCTGGGGGTGGACATAGGCAAAGAGTAGGGGGTGTTGAGGATGGTGTGAGAACAAGGGGTGGGGGAAGATCCTGAAGATCCCAGAACTTTGGAGTCCTGTTTTCTCATGGTCCACTTAGGCCTGTCATCCCACTCATTTAAAAATCGTTGGAAGAAGTAAGTTCCTGGTGGATCTGTACATCTGGTTCATTCAGCCAATTGGTTGTGGTATGCTTTGTGCTAACTACCTTCTCCTCTTGCCTCTGGCTGTGGGCTCCTTCCGTACTGAGGTCAGTGAAAATATGTGGTCAGTTTGGTGAACTGGTCATTCAAAGAAAATTAATAATAATCCTAACGTGTTGGAGTGTGGACTAAGCAAAAATGGCTTTAAGATGCTAACATGAAAGAATAAACTGAATAAATTGAGCATTTCTCATGTGAAATTCTGGAACCTTTATTATATTCATAAGGGTATCTTTGAAAAAATTCATAGTGAAGTTTGGCATATTTTTGACTGTTTATTGGCTTTTTAAGTGTTTCTTCATGTCTGGGAATTGCCTATTTATATACTTTGTTCATTTTCCTATTGGTTTATCTTTTTCTAACATTTGTGTGAGTTTATACATTACAGATATGAATCCTTTGTCTGTGATATATATTGCAAATATTTTCTCCCAACCTATTCCTTGGCATTTAAGCCTTTAATCCACTTGAAATTTATTGTGGTGTCTGGTACAAGACTGGAATCTAATGGGATTTTTCTGTTTAGAAGTTAGACTTTACACAGCACCATTTGTCGAATAATCCATCTGATTCTCATTAATCTGCAGGGTTTCTTTCTTAGGTCTCAGATGTAGAAGAGTCCATTTCAGGACCATCTATTGTGTTTTAGTAAATTGCTCTGTAAATTCTTGCAGAGGTTTAATTATTGTGTTATTATGTGGGTTTTTTTGTTAATATTATTTGGAATTTACCTGTTCTCATCTTTTTATAGGTTGGTGCAAGGTTGGTGCAAAAGTAACTGCGGTTCTTGCCATTATTATTGTAATTGGCAAGAATTATATTATCACAGGTTTATAACCGTTTTGTCAAGTTAAAATATAAATATTGGTATTTAGGAAGTTTGTTCCAGTGAATGAAGGGTAAGTAATATGGATTTGTATATTGCATTCATCCCTGTTGCAAATGTGTAAGATGCTAACTTCTTCAGGAGGCAACACTGTTTTTGTATGTGGTGTTTTATAAATTTGAGAAAAAGTAAGTGTGTCTCTGTGTAAAATTTGTCAACAAATATATTGTCTCACAGATTATAATTTCATTAAAAAATACTTCCAAATGTCTTACACAAATTTAGTATTTGTAGGTTTTCTGGGTATGTAGTACAATCCTCATGCTTATATTATACAAGCAAAATTTTATAGTAAGTGAATGTGTTAAAAAATTAAAATGTTATTTAAATTTTAGTATTAACAGAAATAAGAAAAGTTTCATGGTTGAAAATACATACTAATATAGAGACTGTATATTATTCATCTTATTTTGGATCAAAATGAAGTAAAGCAACCATGCAGAAATATCTAGAGGCTATTAATGCCCAAATTAAAAGAAAAACTGATTGATTTCAATACACGATATGAAGAATAAAGCAGACCCAAGACACATGAGTCTTAAGAAAATTACACCGCTGAAGAAGCTCCAAGATGTGCACTTTGAAGTCCTTCCCATCCTCTGGGTCTTTAAGCAATACAAGGCTACCCAACACTATCTACTAATCATTCATTATCTTTTGTCAAACTGGTTACCAAAGACCATGTGAAAAAGCTCAGGCTCTTGGACCTCACACCCGTTTTCTCCACAGGTTGTTTTGCAGAAGCTTCTTCTATGTGTCGTCCTGTTCTACACTGTGTACTATGTGTCCCTGAGCATGGGCTGCATAATGTTTCAGTAAGTAGCATATTGTCTTCAAACAGAATTAAAAAGCTAACATTGAATAGGAAAGGACTTTATGTTTAACATTTCACATGTCTTTATGGATTAGAGGACATGGATTTTTTAATGGCATATTTTCACTACTTTTATTTATTTATTATTTTTTGTAGAGACAAGGTCTCACTATGTTGCCTAGGCTGGTCTTGATCTCCTGGCCTCAAGTGATCCTCCTGCCTTGGTCTCCCAAAGTGCTGGGATTACAGGCATGAGCCACTGCATCCAGCCTACATTCATTACTTAAGTAAAAATAGGCAAACGTTCTATCTCTGAAAATGATAAAAGTAACAATCATGAAATGAAGTGGCTAGAACCAGTTAGGACTGTTTCTCCTACCTCTTTAAAGGATGTTCATGGAAAGAAAGTGAACCCATTACTCCCTGGTCTGGCATCAGAGCAGGCTTGAACAAGAAAGGAGCTTAAAGATCATCCCCATTCAATCTAAATAATTTTTTGTTGTATATTGGAAATCGCTTTTGGGAGTCAGTAGACTCACATTCTGACCCCAGTTCTTAATAACTTTCTGAATCATCTTAACCAAATCACAATATCTCCTATTTCAATGCTTTCATTTGTCGAATGGAGTAATCCAAAAAAAAGAGATATTATGAAAATAAAATGGGGTAATACATGTATTTTAATGGTATCATTTCTGTGTAAGTGTAAAACATTATTTTTTCAGGTGAGTTTTTGTCTTGCTATGATTGAATTTTGTCTCTACAGATTTAGGTTGCCAATATATTGGTTGCCTTGAGATACATTACGTGTATTTACAAATGATTTCCTAGAAATTGAGTGCTTATACAATTCTATTGTGCAAGCAAAGAATTCTATTTCAATATGCAAATTAATACCAATATGCAACTATCAAAATATAATGATGCCAATGTTTGCAATGGAAAGAATGTCATTCAGCATGCTCGGAGGCAAACCCACAGAGGAAGTATCTGGTACTCACATGCAGTCTTAGCCTCTTCCCTGAAAGTGGAGATGGTGAGGTTATGCCTGGGGTAAGGAGAAGGCAAGGCTTGTAGGATTCTCTGAGCATGGGATATCAAGGGTTTGTAGTTAACATGAGTCAGAGGTGAGGAATTTGAAGTAATTAGACCTTAAAGCTTCAGGAGGCAGCTAACTGGTTGGCCGGGTGCACACAACTACAAACTTGGGCCTAGTCTAAAGTCCAGGTGTATACTTTGTAGACTCAGATTTTAGAACAGGAAGGGAACTGAGAGATTAATCTCTTCGATTTACAGAGAGGAAACTGGAGCCTAGAGAGGTTAGGTGGCTTGTCCAAGTTCATGGTTGTAACATCAGGAGGATTAGAATCTGTATCTTGCTGTTTTTAAACCTCTGCTGTCTCCAGGACATTAAGTTCTCCTTCTGTGTTTGATGGCAGGAGCTACCAAGATTCTAGCTGAGACAGCAAATAAAATTAAGTCCACTTGATGAACAACATGGAACTTAATTGGACAAAGTAGGCAATGTGGACAAAATGTTATTTGGCTGTCATCCAAGTCAGCCAGTTTCAAATTTTTTTTTTCTTTTTAGTTCACTTCCTTTTTTTCTGCTTAGCACATTTTTTATATAAATGGTATCAAATAATAGGTGTCATTTTATAACTTTTTTCAACGTTACATTTCAAAAATATATCCATGATAGGATGTATTTGGAATTAATTATTCGATCTTAATTGCTCACTTAATAGTAGTTTACTTAATTTTAAAAAGTATGTTACAGCACCATTTTGGTGGGACCTATTTTACATCTGAAGAACTACTGGCTTGGTCCTGAAGTGAGTTTACATTTCTTAACCAGATATTGCCTTGTTCCTTATTACCTTTTCTCCCTCTCACCTCATGATTGAGCGGAAATTTTGCTGAAAGTGTTACCACAACTTGTAATCTACCAAGAAGAGTAAAATGTTTGAGTCAGAAAAAGATTCTATAGAAATTACTGTCATCATTGCTGATTCCTTCCCATTTCGGCCAGTTTTTAAATGTGCCACAATGTGAGTAAATCGAATGACTCATCCTTGTATGTGAGTAGTAATGTGGAAAGCTTTGATGTGCAGTTATGAACTGCCTCAGCCAGAGTAAACTGTTCTCATTTACATCTTTAGGGTGCATGAGTTGGATGTCCTGGCACCATTCGATTTCAAAACAAATCCCTCATGGCGCAACATATATTACAAAGGTAATTGTTTTCATTTTAAATACTTATCAATTAGTGAACTAAATGCCACTAAAAGTAATTTTTAATTAAAAAAAATTTTAAATATCAGGCCTGTCTCACAGTCATCTGTGTATTTTATCTGACTTCAACAATTAATTAGGAAAAGTGCCATCAAAAGTTTTAAAGTTTTTATTTCTTGGACACTGAGTAAGATGGAATATGTGGATAAAAGGAAAAAGAATTCTTATATAAATTTTCATTTCATGGTACTGGGGGTAAGTTTTTGTTCATAAAATATTTTTAAAGAAAAGGAGGAATAGTGACAATGTGCTGATGTAGAAAAATATTTGTGAAACATAAAATAGAAAATTAAATACAACAAAAGATTTCATAGAGCATAATTTCATTTTTGTGGCATAAAGTAAAATACATGGTGTCAGTGATAAGAAATCTGGATAATTATGCAACAAACTGTTATCTTCCATCTGGGATGACAGAGAAGTTTCATTTTGTACTTTGTGCATTTCTGCTTGGTTTTTCTTCCCAAAATAGTATATAACTTGTTGCAGAAGAAAAACAATAAGACAGAATATACTAAGGCAAAGTTTCTCTCTCTTAAATTTGGCATTGTTATTGAATAGTTATTAATTAATATCTAGTATGTTTGTCAACCTTATGTATGTTAATAATCATACGTAGGTACCTTGAATATATGTAAAACATACATTTTGGGGGACTCTTCATGGTGGGTTTACCCCATTTTTGAAAAGTAAAATTTTAATGTTATTTTTCATTATAAAATAAAACATATTAATTAATGGAAGCTTAAAAAGTCTATAAGCAGAAAAATGAAAAATAAATTAATCACATACTTATATCCTGTATACAGTAATTACTTTTAATATTTTGTTAAGTTTTTCCCTATTATTGTTTTTTAATGTACTGTCAATTCCTTAAATTGACAGTACATTCTGGGGCATTCTGGGGATCTTCAGAGATCATTAGAAAACCACTGGACAATCTTTTGGGGGTACAATTCATTAGAAAACCATTGGACAATCTTTCAGTGGGACAAATACGCAAATATAGAAAAATTGCTAAAGGCCAATGAAACTTGATTTCTAATGTAATTTGTATAGGAAACTTGGTCAGTTAGAGTTACTAAATTCAAATAGAAAGCTTTAGAACAGTCTCCTCAAATGGGTATCCTTGTTTGGTATCATTATTGATTTAATTTGGGGTGAAAAATATGTGAGAACAAGACACTTTGATTCTGAGATACAAGAGGTCTAACACTTTACCTTAACTTTCTTTCAGGCACTTTCCTAGTTTTCACCAATACTATCCACCAGTGATTTAAAAAAATAGTCCCAGTAAAGAGATGAGTATGGGCCATGTGTGTGTTTTGGGTAGAGGAAGAGATTTAAAACTCAATAGTCATTATTTAATTCTAGCCTTTGGGTCAGTCACTAAAGAAAGGACAATATCATAGGCTTATTGAAGAAGGCTGTGTTTTTTCATAGCAGAGATTAGTGATGATCTTTTACATAGCAGGGATTAGTGAAGATCCCCAGAATGCCTGGCAGAGTTTACAGTCTTTCTTTCCTCTCATGAAACACAAACATTTGTACAAAGATATCAATAAACCCTTGGCCCATTAGAGCTTTAATTTTGGGCTTGGGGAGATACATGTCATAACTTTTCAAAGTTGTTTCTCTGAGAATCGATATTTATCTAATCTCAGAGATATTAATAAATTCTAAGAGTAGTCTCAGAGACTTTCGCATGTATTTATTATGGTCAGGTTTTGTGTAGGTTTCAATAACTTTGTCACCCACGAGATCAGTTTTAGCAAGGACAATGGAAAGTGTGAGTCCAGTTAACACATTTCAATTACTAATATCTGTCCTTTGCATTGCAGAGAATAGATTGCAAGTTTCTTTCATTTTTACATTAAAACTCCCAACAATTTTCTTGAGATAGATAATACTCCGGATTCCAATTTATGGAGAAGAAAACAGACTGATCTAGAAGTTAAAATCCTGCTCAAGTTCTTATAACGTTTTTTAAAAAGAGAGAGAGGGAAAGAGACAGAGATTCACTCTGGCACCCAGGCTGGAGTGCAGTGCAGTACAGTGACGTGATTATAGCTTGTTGTAACCTCAAACTCCTGCACTCAAAAGATCCTCCCACCTCAGCCTCCTGAGTAGCTAGGACTATGGGGCACACTATAATGCAAGGCTAAGTTTTAAAACATTCCTTTTAGAGACAGGATCTTGCTATGTTACCCAGGCTGGCCTTGAACTCCCAGCTTCAAGTGATCCTCCCACCTTGGCCTCTCAAAGTACTGGAATTACATGTATGAGCCACCGAGCCTAGCCAAGGTCTTATGACTCTTAAACTGTAAAGGCGAGGCTTAAAGCTGGTATATTGACTTCAAATTTTGTATTACTTCCTTTAAGTCGTGCCCTATCATAAACACAGCATAAATATTCTCTATTAATAAACATGAATACAGCTTGTGCAAGATTAAAATCAGTACCTCCAAGCAGCTGCAAGTTAACCTATCAAATATCTAAATGCTGACAAAAGGGGCATCTCTCTTTTCCTACAATAATGTAGTGATTCTGTAAACCAGTGGGGGAGGGAAGAATGAAATGTGATGGAAAGAGATGGTGTCAATATGACACAATAGGACAGTTCTTTCCTTGATATTAGGTGGCAGGACAGGCTGAACTGATCTCCACTGGTCAAAGGGATTCCTATGCAATTGAAAAGCAGTTATTCTGAATTCTGTATTTAACTTTTGAAACCTGTTAGGTTAAATTAAATAGAATTGAAGAGGAATAAGTGTGAGGTCTTTAAAAAGATTGCACCTGGGGTTTGTTTCCTTGGTACCTCGCTTACCAGCTGCAATCATTGGCTTGCTGGATAATAAATTACTTCTGCACAGTAGGACATAAGGTGATTATTTTAGTTTTTGCTTTGAAAAAGATAGAGTTTGTCTACCTAGATGTATTTACTCCTGAATTATCTGAACATGCCACTTATTTCCTGTGCTTTAAAAAGAAAGAAAGGTAATTTTTATGGAAAGTGATATTATTTACAAAGGGACCTTGGTGGTTTATCACATATATCTATCTTTTTAAAGTTTGATGGATCTCTCTTTTGAAACCATGATAGTCTTAAAGATCCATATGAAAGATAAGAGAAAGAAGATGGACCCATCACGTGTTCAGAGATTTGTGGTTCTCACCTGTAAATATCCAGCTCTTTATACATGTTCAGGTAAACCACTCTGTCACAACAAGTGTATTTAGAACAGTGTCTCGATCCATACCTGTCATTTATGAGACTATCTTTCATCCATGGTTTTCAGTTATGTTTCCCAAGTGACGATCTGAATGGATCATTTTATTATAAAGATACAAAGGAACTCATTTGCAAGTTAGGCAGTGCTTGGTATCAAACAAATGTAGTTTGATAAACTCTTACATTTGTTTTTTTTTTTTTCATTTCTTAAAATTTGGAACTGTTTTTTTCATTAGTTTTAATGTATCTTGAAATGAGATTTGCAATCCCATTACAGATTTGCACATATTGGTTACATTACAACATTTATTATATTTCACCTTCTAAAATGTTAAGTACAAAGAATGTGAAACAGAAATTATATATATTATTGTTTTCTACAAATCTAAGAATTATTAAAAGATAAAATATATTAATCGTTTTATCCAGATTTGAGGATTGTTAGGAAATGGAACATTTTAAAAATTCTTACCAAAATTTCTTCTCAGAGTAAGCTTTCCTGGTCTTGTTACTAGTTGTATTTCAGAATGTGAGTTGCTCTAGTCCCCAATAATTATATTTTTCCTTTTATTTGCAGTTCTTTTAGTTTCAACAGAAGTCACCTACTTTGCTTGTGGACTGCTTTTTGTTCCAGTTGCAGAAGAATGGGTTTGGGATTATGCTATTTCAGTAACTATTCTTCATGTTGCCATCACTTCAACTGGTAAGCAAAATAAAATAACAGAAACAAGGAGAATGTATTAAATCAGATGTTGGAGCTAAACCACTTCCTGAGTAGAACTTTGTTGTCTGCATATTCTTGTATGATAGCTAAATGACAAAAACTGATGATGAAAGGTCTTCATTCCTCCTTCCAGCCTCATTTTTTTCTACCACTCTTCTCAGAGAGGTTTTTTTTTTTTAATGTTTTAAAAAATGTTTTATTTTGAAATAATTTTTAGAGTTACAGAAAAGCTACAAAAATATAACTGAGAGTTCCCATGTACCTTCACCCAGCTTCCCCTAATATTAACATTTTATGGGCACTGCTGGGAAGATGGCCAACTAAGAACAGCTCAGGACTTTGGCTCCCAGTGAAAGTGCAGAGGGTGAGTGGATGCCGCATTTCCAGATGAATTTTTATTTGCCGCAGACAAGGAGATTCCCAGGCAGAGGGGTCGCCAGCGCCACTGTTTCAGCCGGTGTGGCTATTTTGGCCCCTGTGGGGCTAATTTGGCCTTCGTGGCTGCTGTGACCACGCCCTGTTGTGGCAGTTCTCCATACAAAAGCCACTGGTCTGGGAGCCCTCTTAGCTGGCAATTGGAGCCCTGAGATGGCAGAGTTGCCCATTCAACTGAAATAGCGAGCCAGGCCAGGAGATTCCTAGGCAAAAAAACTGCCAGGAACATCAGCGCTGCTGTTTGAGCCAGCTCAGTGAGTCTCGGCACGGGAGATCCCGGCGCCTTTTCAACAGGTGACTGGAAAGCTGTGTCATTCAATTAAAAAAAAAAAACAACTCTGAGTCAGGGAGCCAGGTGATCAGGCTCAGTTGGTCCCACCCCTCTCCCCAACAACAACAACAACAATGACAACAAAAACAGTAATTGAAAACCCTCTGGGTTGACCGTTTCACAGCAAGAACAGCTGAACCCAGAATGGTCCGGCTCTGTGGGGGAGTGGCGTCCTCAATTACTGAGACTCTCCACCACTACGGAGGCAGCCCGCCATTGCTGAGGCAACCTGCCACTACAGAGAGAGTCCGTCATAACAGAGGCGGGCCCACCATTGCCGAGGCAATGTATGGGGTAACTCTACCCATATAAACAGGACTGCAGGGAAGATCACACAGTAGCTGGGCGGAGCCCACAGCAGCTCAGCAAAGCCTCCGCAGGCAAACAGGGACTAGGCAGACTCCTAACTGCAGGGCAGCCCTGAAAGAAAAAATAAAGGGGGCAGCAGCACAATGGAAACTCATAAAGCCCTAACTCCCCAGGACAGAGCACCTGGGAACAAAAAGCGGTTTATGAGTTCAACTGCAGCAGACCTAAACGTACCTGCCGAGCAGCTCTGAATGAGCAATGGAGCTCACAGCTCAGGACCTAAGCCCCAATAAAAGACACGCTGTCTCCTCAAGCAGCTCCCTGACCCCCCATAGATCCAAAGAGTCACCTCATAAAGGAGAGAACAGACTGACATTTGGCGAGCATCCTTCTGGGACAAAGACAGCAGAAGAGGAAACTGGTAGCAACCCTTACTGTTCTGCAGCTGCTGCAGATGATCCCCAGGCAAGCAGGGCCTGGAGTGGACATCAGCAGTCCTACAGCAGAGGGACCAGACTATTAGAAGGAAAGCTTAAAAAAAAAAAAAAAAAAAAGAAGTAACTTCAGCATCCACAAACTGGAAGCTCACTCAGAGACTCAATCTGAAAGACAGTAACTACAAAGACAACAGGTGGATAAACCCACAAAGATGTGAAGAAACCAGTGCAAAAAGGATGAAAACTCCCGAAACCAGAACACGTCTCCTCCTAAAAGGGATCACAACTCCTCACTAGCAAGGGAACAAGACCGGATGGAGAAAGAGTGTGACGAAATGACAGAATCAGACTTCAGAAGGTGGGTAGTAAGAAACTACAGTGAGCTAAAAGAACATGTTCTAACCCAATGCAAAGAAACTAAGAACATTGAAAAAAGATTGGACGAAAAGCTAACAAGAATGAACAACATAGAGAGGAATATAAGTGAATTGATGGAGCTGAAAAACACAACACGAGAACTTCACGAAGCATGCACAAGTTTCAACAGCCAAATTGACCAAGCAGAAGAAAGGATATCGGAGGTCAAAGATCAACTCAATGAAATAAAAGGAGAAGGCAAGAACAGAGAAAAAAGGGCAAAAAGGAATGAACAAAATCTTCAAGAAATGTGGGACTATGTGAAAAGACCTAATCTATGTTTGATAGGGGTTCCTGAATGTGACGAAGAGAATGAATCCAAGCTGGAAAATACTCTTCAGGATATTATCCAGGAAAACTTCCCCACCTAGCAAGGCAGGCAAATATTCAAGTCCAGGAAATACAGAGAACACCACAAAGATACTCCTCAAGAAGAGCAACCCCAAGGCACATAATCGTCAGATTCACCAGGGTTGAAATGAAAGAGAAAATGCCAAGAGCAGACAGAGAGAAAGGTTGGGTTACCCACAAAGGGAAGCCCATTAGACTCACAGGAGATCTCTCAGCAGAAAACCTACAAACCAGAAGAGATTGGGGGCCAATATTCAACATCCTTAAAGAAAAGAACTTTCAACCAAGAATTTCATATTCAGCCAAACTAAGCTTCACAAGTGAAGGAAAATTAAAATCCTTTGCGAACAAGCAAGTACTCAGAGATTTCATCACCACCAGGCCTCCTCTACAAGAAATCCTGAAAGAGGCTCTACACATATAAAGGAACAACCAGTACCAGCCACTCAAAAAACATACCAAATGGTAAAGAGCATCAACACAATCAAGAATCCGCATCAACTAACCAACAAAACAGCCAGCTAGCATCAAAATGACAGTATCAAATTCACACTTAACAATACAATCCCTAAATGTAAATGGACTAAATGCCCCAATCAAAAGACACAGACTGGCAAATTGGATAAAAAGCCAAAACCCATCAGTGTGCTGTATCCAGGAAACTCATCTTACATGCAAGGATACACAAAGGCTCAAAATAAAGGGATGGAGGAAGATCTACCATGCAAATGAAGAGCAAAAAAAAGCAGGAATTGCAAGTCTCATCTCTGATAAAATAGACTTTAAAGCAACAAAGATCAAAAGAGACAAAGAAGGACATTACATAATGGTAAAAGGATCAAGGAAACAAGAAGAGCTAATGATCCTAAATATATACGCACCCAATACAGGAGCACCCAGATACATAAGGCAAGTTCTTAATGACTTACAAAGAGACTTAGACTCCCACATAACAATAGTGGGAGACTTTAACACCCCATTGTCAATATTATACAGATCATCCAGACAGAAAATTAACAAGGATATCCAGGACCTGAACTCAGACCTGGAGCAAGCAAACCTAATAGACATTTACAGAACTCTCTACCCCAAATCCACAGAATATACATTCTTCTCAGCACCACATCACACCTACTCTAAAATTGACCACATAATTGGAAATAAATCCCTCCTCAGCAAATGCCAAAGAACAGAAATCCCAACAAACTGTCTCTCAGACCACAGTGCAATCAAATTAGAACTCAGAATGCAGAAACTAACTCAGAGCCGCACAGCTTCATGGAAACTGAACAACTTGCTCTTGAATGTTGACTGGATAAACAATGAAATGAAAGCAGAAATAAAGATGTTCTTCGAAACTAATGAGAATGAAGACACAACATACCAGAATCTCTGGGACACATTTAAAGCAGTCTCTAGAGGAAAATATATAGCAATGAGTGCCCACATGAGAAGAAAGGAGAGATCTAAAATTGACACCCTATCATCAAAATTGAAAGAGCTAGAGGAGCAAGATAAAAAAAAAAAAATTCAGGCCGGGCGCGGTGGCTCAAGCCTGTAATCCCAGCACTTTGGGAGGCCGAGGCGGGTGGATCACGAGGTCAAGAGATCGAGACCATCCTGGTCAACATGGTGAAACCCTGTATCTACTAAAAAAAATACAAAAAATTAGCTGGGCATGGTGGCGGGTGCCTGTAATCCCAGCTACTCAGGAGGCTGAGACAGGAGAATTGCCTGAACCCAGGAGGCGGAGGTTATGGTGAGCCAAGATCGCACCATTGAACTCCAGCCTGGGTAACAAGAGCGAAACTCCATCTCAAAAAAAAAAATAAAAAATAAAAAATAAAAAAAATATATTAAAAAATTCAAAACCTAGCAGAAGACAGAAAATAACCAAGATCAGAGCAGAACAGAAGGACATAGAGACACAAAAACTCTTCAAAAAAATCAATAAATCCAGGAGCTGATTTTTCAAAAAGATCAACAAAATAGACAGACCACTAGTCAGATTAGTAAAAAAGAAAAGAGAGAATAACCAAATTGATGTAATAAAAAATGATAAAGGGGATATCACCACAGATTCCACAGAAATCCAAACCATCATTAGATATTATTACAAACAACTCTATGCACATAAACTAGTAAACCTGGAACAAATGGATAAATTCCTGGACAACTGCATCCTCCCAAGCCTAAACCAGGAAGAAGTCGAAACCCTGAATAGACCAATAACAAGGTCTGAAGTTGAGGCAGCAATTAAGAGCCTACCACCCCCAAAAAAGTCCAGGTCCAGATGGGTTCACAGCTGAATTCTACCAGACATACAAAGAGGAGCTGGTACCATTCCTTCTGAAACTATTCCAGACAATCCAAAAAGAGGGAATCTTTCCCAAATCATTTTATGAGACCAACATCATCCTGATACCAAAACCCGGCAGAGACTCAACAAGAAAAGAAAACTTCAGGCCAATATCCATGATGAACATAGATGCAAAAATCTTCAATAAAATACTGGCAAGCCGATTGCAACAGCACATGGTGGATAAGCACAAAAAGCTTATCAACCAAGATCAAGTAGGATTCATCCCAGGGATGCAAGGCTGGTTCAACATACACAAGTCCATAAACGTAATTCACCACATAAACAGAACCAAAGACAAAAACCACATGATTATCTCAATTGATGCAGAGAAGGCCTTTGACAAAATTCAAAAGCCCTTTATGCTAAAAACCCTCAATAAACCAGGTATTGACGGAACGTATCTCAAAATAATAAAAGCTATTTATGACAAACCAACAGCCAATATCATACTGAATGGGCAAAACTGGATGCATTCCCTTTAAAATCTGGCACTAGACAAGGATGCCCTCTCTCACCACTCCTATTCAGTATAGTACTGGAAGTTCTAGCCAGAGCAATCAGGCAAGAAAAAGAAATAAAGGGTATTCAAATAGGAAAGGAGGAAACCAAACTGTCTCTATTTGCAGATGACATGATTGTATATCTAGAAGACCCCATCGTCTCAGCCCCAAATCTCCTGAAACTGATAAACAACTTCAGCAAAGTATCAGGATACAAAATCAACGTGCAAAAATCACAAGCATTCCTATACACCAGTAACAGACTTAAAGAGAGCCAAATCAAGAACGAACTGCCATTCACAATTGCTACAAAGAGAATAAAATACCTAGGAATACAACTAACAAGGAATGTAAAGGACCTCTTCAAGGAGAACTACAAGCCACTGCTCAACAAAATAAGAGAGGACACAAACAGATGGAGGAACATTCCATGTTCATGGTTAGGAAGAATCAGCATCGTGAAAATGGCCATACTGCCCAAAGTAATTTACAGATTCAATGCTATTCCCAACAAGCTACCAATGACCTTCTTCACAGAACTGGAAAAGAACACCTTAAACTTCATATGGAACCAAAAGAGAGCCCACATAGCCAAGTAAATTCTAAGCAAAAAGAACAAAGCAGGAGGCATCACACTACCGGACTTCAAACTATACTACAAGGCTACAGTAATCAAAACAGCATGGTACTGGTACCAAAACAGAGCTATAGACCAACGGAACAGAACAGAGGCCTCGGAGGAAACACAACATATCTACAACAATCTGATCTTTGACAAACCTTACAAAAACAAGCAATGGGGAAAGCATTCCCTGTTTAATAAATGGTGTTGGGAAAACTGGCTAGCCATGTGCAGAAAGCAGAAACTGGACCCCTTCCTGACACCTTGCACTAAAATTAACTCCAGATGGATTAAAGACTTAAACATAAGACCTAACACCATAAAAACCCTAGAAGAAAATCTAGGCAAAGCCATTCAGGATATAGGCATAGGCAAGGACTTCATGACCAAAACGCCAAAAGCATTGGCAACAAAAGCCAAAATAGACAAATGGGACCTAATCAAACTCCACAGCTTCTGCACGGCAAAAGAAACAGTCAGAGTGAATCGGCAACCAACAGAATGGGAAAAAATTTTTGCAGTCTACGCATCTGACAAGGGGCTGATATCCAGAATTTACAAAGAACAAAAACAGATTTACAAGAAAAAAACAAACAGGCCCATTCAGAAGTGGGCAAAGGATATGAACAGACACTTTACAAAAGAAGACATACAGGAGGCCAACAAACATATGAAAAAATGCTCATCATCACTGGTCATTAGAGAAATGCAAATCAAAACTACATTGAGATACCATCTCACACCAGTTAGAATGACGATCATTAAAAAATCTGGAGACAACAAATGCTGGAGAGGATGTGGAGAAATAGGAACACTTTTACATGTTGGTGAGAGTATAAATTAGCTCAACCATTGTGGAAGAGAGTGTGGCGATTCCTCAATGACCTAAAAATAGAAATCCCATTTGACCCAGCAATCCTATTACTGGGTATATATCCAAAGGATTATAAATCATTCTACTATAAGGACACATGCACACGAATGTTCATTGCAGCACAGTTTACAATAGCAAAGACCTGGAACCAACACAAATGCCCATTGATAATAGACTGGACAGGGAAAATGTGGTATATATACACCATGGAATATTACGCAGCCATCAAAAACGATGAGTTCGTGTCCTTTGTAGGGACATGGATGAACCTGGAAACCATCATTCTCAGCAAACTGACACAAGAGCAGAAAATGAAACCCCGTATGTTCTCACTCATAGGTGGATATTGAACAATGAGAACACATGGACACAGGGAGGGGAGCACTACAAACTGGGGTCCATTGGGGGTAAATGGGGGAGGGATGGAGGTGGGGAGAGATAGCATGGGGAGAAATGCCAGATATAGGTGAAGGGAAGGAAGGCAGCAAATCACACTGCCATGTGTGTACCTATGCAACAATCTTGCATGTTCTTCACATGTACCCCCAAACCTAAAATGCAATAAAAAAAATTTAAAAACAATAACATTTTATATAACCATAGTACAATTACCAAAACTAATAAAGTAACATTGGTATAATACCATGATTAACAAAACTATAGACTTTATGCTGGTTTTCTCTACATAATTTTTCTTTCTCAAGATCCAATCTAATCAGAACTGAACTGAAATAGAGATGTTTCCCTTTCATATTCAACTTGTCACCAACTGGACAAGGTTTGCCCTGTAAGACATGTTTTTCCTCCAAAACCCTTCCCTGAGGGCAGAAACTGATCAAAGACTTGGAACTGGGATCCACAGACACCTGTCCAACAATAGTTATTCTAACACAAATACCAATTCTTAGACTAAGTGGTTTTTATTTGTACCTGTGATTTTTTGGAGTCAGAAGAAAATAGATACAAATTCCAGTCATACCTCCTTCTAGGGGGGTTATCTTGGACAAGTCACATCTCTCACTTCAGTTTCCTTCTCTACAAAATGGAGGAACTGTCTGACATGTGTTTAGCATATAATAATTACTCAGTAAATGACTATTTCATCCATTTGTTCACCCATTCACTCAAAATTTACTCATCACCATATTTTATTTCTCCCTTACTATACTCCCTTACTTTTTAAAAGCATATCAGTCAAAATATAAGTGATTACCACCATGGGTTATAATTCAAAGTTTGTTATTTATGACCAACTTAATTCACCGTCATATTTTCAGTGCCCTGATCTCTGGATAGTATAATGTGTCTCCAACTGAAGAACACACAATTTCCAAATGAACTGCAACCTCCCAGCTTCACTGCTATTAGACAAAGCCAGTATATTCATCTTTTAGCGTTAATTTCCAGAGACACAAACCCACCCTCGGTAACTCAAAGAATCACTGGATGCCCTGCCCCCATCACTCTGCTTCTGAAGTGCTGTATTTTACTTTAGGGCTTAGTGTTTTCTGCAAGACAGCCACTGATTTTTGTAAAAGGGCTTGGAGTATAGATGTTTCAATCCTCAGGGCTGAGATGAACTGTAGGTTTTAGACCTAGAAAAGTTATGAGTTAATGGTCTAACACATGGCACTTAGAAAATGTTAGCAAATGACTACAGGACAGAAGTGACTTCAGAGTGAAGTGGTTTGGAATCCCTGAGGGAAGCAGGCATTGAGGATTCAGGATGGCCTTAGGATCATCACTTAAAATCAACTTTGGGAGCTGACCTGAGACCCTCATGATTCATAGCATTATTCCTAGGAGGTGTTCTAAAGGTTTGGCTTAACAAATGACCTTTTAGACCAGGACTGAAGTACAATTTGGGGCTACTTGATTTAATGAATATGGATGAACCTTCTCTTTGATGGGTGAATATGATTTGACCAAACAGAAGTATTTATTCTTGAGTATAAAATAAAAGGGCACATTTTGAAACTAAACATATTTTTTCTACTGCAGTTATGTTGGAATTCCCCTTGACATCACATTGGTGGGCTGCTTTAGGTATGTCGGAATTGTTTGTTTAGATTCTGTAATACACAGAAATAATGTTAAATAGAATAACTGTGGAAATAGATTTGATTTTCTCACAGATTTTATAATTATTATCTAAGATAATAATATCTAAGATAATTTTTTTAAAAAAGTTTTACTGAAGTTGGATGCCACTGGTTGTCTCTTTTGGCCCAAATATACTCTCAGGCCAACCCAGATACCATCCATGGGAGAGATGCTACCGTCATAACATGTATTGGAAACAAAAATACATTGGTAAATAGACATATAAGAAGTATAGTGGCCAAGTGTGATGGTTCATGCCTGTAATCCCAGGACTTTGGGAGGCTGAGGTGGGCAGATCACTTGAAGTCAGGAGTTTGAGACCAGCCTGGCCAACGTGGTGAAACCTGTCTCTATTAAAAATACAAAAATTTGCGATGGCATGGTGTAATTACAGGGCACCTATAATCTCAGCTACTCAGGAGGCTGAGCCAGGGGAATCCCTTGAACCTGGGAGGTGGAGGTTGCAGTGAGTCGAGATGGCACCACTGCACTCCAGCCTGGGAGAGACAGAGCAGACTCCATCTCAAATCTATTGGTAAAATTTGAATTTACGAAGCAATGACAGATGTTGAGCAATAATGAAGGAGCCGGAGTAAAAGCCAGAACGACTCTGTATTCTGGCAAAGTTTTCATGAAGCCATACATTTTCTTAGCTTGCTTCCAAGACTGATCTGCACCAGTTTTTTCTCCCTTTCTTCCCTTCTCATCTTTTCATTATAGTAGGAAATAAGACCTGAGTTTCCATGAGGAGGGAAACTACAGCAGATATACCTTTCTTTAAAAAGTGTTTTAGGGACAAATTGTGCACTTTTAGTGGAATCTACATCCATAGTTGATTATATGCCCGGGGGAGCATCAAACGTTCCACTGTAAAAACAGGTTTGACTGGGTAGATTCAGAAATAATGAGTTACGAGTACACACAGACCTGATGCCAAACAACACAGTTCCTCTTCTTTCCTTCTCTGACATCTCCTGAATCTATTCACAGAGCTTCATGCTGCTCTCACCTCTTACTATGGGACTATATTTCATTTATATTCCTATGTCCCAAGATAAAGTTTTGTCTAACTTCTTATTGTTCACAACTTATCTAAATAAACTCTCTAGTAACATTTACGGATCCTCAAAAGGTTGAATTCTTAGATGGACAAAGAGGTTGGAACCTGATTTATAGATCACGGGAGGGAACTGCCCTCTGTAGATGAATTCAAGTGAAATAGTCAAGGCTCAAGCTATACGTCAATGAAGATAAAATTATGATGCAGGAAACAGCAACAAAAATGAATGTGTATTGAAACTAGCAAAGTGTGAAAAGAGCTTCCAGGTCAGGAACTAGGAAAATAAGAATATATGAAGGTAAATTAGCCTCCATGCTTTTTTTCCCCGTGTTAAGACAAAGAACCTAGAAGTATATCTTAGAGCAGAATTTCTCAGATTGTAATGTACATAACGCATGCAGATCACCTAAAGATCTTGCAAAAAAGGTCATCAGTCTGGGTAAGGCCCAGGTTATGCTGGCACTGCTAGTCTCGAGACCATGCTTGGAGTGACAATAGCACGGACGTTGTTCTGAGCCTTTTTATTCTCTTACACAACCCCTAAATTCAAACAAAGTCAATAAATTTTATGCCTCTGTAGTATTTTCAAGCTCTTAATTAACAATTGAGAAGTTCTTCAAAGTATCTAACTTTAATCTCCCCTCTTGTTTTTTACAATCATCATTTTCTAGAATTGAAGTAGTCAACCATATTTAGCTCAGTCTTCGTTCTAAGAAATCCAATCTAAATTGGATTATGTTTTCCATGGAACATGGAAATAAAACATTCTATTTTATGAAACGAGAAAATCAAGATACGAAACAGCAAACATACAGAAAATGAGACTGTTACAATATCACTTTTACTTACTTTCTTCCTTAATCATATTGTGTAACGGTAACTAGAAATTTAGGAGAAAAATGCAACATTATAATATTAACATTTATTTGTGTTAGTAAACTGCCACACAAGCCTGGCATGGTGGCTCATGCCTGTAATCCAAGCTACTTGGGAGGCTGAGGTGTGAGGATCTCTTGAGACCAGGAGTTTGAAGCTACAGTGAGCTACGATGTCACCACTGCAATACAGCCAGGGCAACAGAGTGAGACTTCATCTCTAAAAAATAAAAAACAAAAAAAAAGTAAATACAAGTAAATGTAAAGCAAAGTTAGATGCTTCTAAACAGATTTCAATATTTGTCAAATATGAAAACCATTTATTTCTAAATCTGTTGCATCTGGCTTTCAAACATAAGGGTCATATAATCTTTTTCCAAATCACTCTTAATTGATTTGGCAATAATCTTGTCTAATATCTTCAATCTGTTCTGACAACAGGGTGCATACCCAAACATATTCTGGAATTGCCACTCAATTTTAATGGACTAAACAATATTAATAGTACTTACTACTTATTGATTTGCATAATATGAGTCAGGACATTGCATTTATCTCACTAACCTTTATTACAATCCTGTGAGATAAGTATTATATTCCACTTTAGCAAATATAAAAACCAAAGCTTATAGAATTGGATAATTTAGGAGCATTTTCACAGTCTCTAAGGTGTGTCCACTAACCAGCCTTTCCTTCAACATAGATGGCCACCCAGAGATACTTCTGCATAGAATCCTGAGGCTGCTACTGCACAGATGTGATGCTTGCTGCCTCTGTGGTGGGTATGCACTCTAAAATAAAGAATATACAGGCTTAAGAGCAGAGCTTACAGAAATTAAGAACACCATTTAGGCAATGTGACAAGTAAAAAGAAATTGAAAAGAAGATAGACTGGGCCGGGTATGGTGGCTCATGCCTGTAATCCCAGCACTTTGGGAGGCTGAGGCAGGCAGATGACCTGAGGTCGGGAGTTTGAGACCAGCCTGACCAACATGAAGAAACGCCATCTCTATTAAAAATACAAAATCAGCTGGGCGTGGTGGCACATACCTGTAATCTCAGCTACTCAGAAGGCTGAGGCAGGAGAACCGCTTGAACCTGGGAGATGGAGGTTGTGGTGAGCCACAAGAGCAAAACTTCATCTCAAAAAATAAATAAATAGAAGATAGACTGGTCAGTTAGTGTCACAAGATGTAGTAGGACTTCCCTGTTGCTTTCAAAGCACACAGAGGCAAACATACAAGACATGACTTGGGAAAGAACACACAAATGGTCAAAGGAATTGTTTCTAGACTCAACTGGAAAATAGCAAATGCCGCTTAGCCTTTTGAAAAGAAAATTATGGAGTGGTTTAATTTTCATTCAAGTTTCAAACAAAAATATTTTAAGAGCTAAAACATCCATAATAAAATATTCAGTCCCCACTGCAGTGCCTGGCACACAGTAGAGCATTAATAAATATTTATTGTGTAAGCATGGGGAGAATTAAATGAGATAAAATTAAGGAGCAGAGATTTTCCTGGCATGTAATGAGTATATTTGGGGTCCTGACAAAGAACACACTCCAGTGGACTATCAAGAAAAGCTATTCAGTCTTCACCATGGGAGGGTTCCAAAAGAACATAGACAATTGACTGTTGTAAATAATTATATATACATATATGTCATGTATAATTATATATAGCATTATAAATATATGCATATTACATATTAGTTATATAATTATGTATTTCTGTATAAAGATGGGAGAAACTATTTTTCTGTGGGTCAGGTAATTAAACCAAAATACTTCAAAAACTTTTTTACTCCAAAACTATGGAGAATAACACACTGGATATATTTGTGACACCTTCACTTTTCTTCATGTATGACATTACCAACTTTATAGTAGTAGTACCGGAAGAGTGAAATTATATTTTTTTCTCACAAAGTGAACTGAATTCATCAATCATATATCCAGTAAGGAAATTAACCAAGTGAAAGTAAACTTTTCTAAAGCTTTTTGTTTCACTTAAGCCAGATGTTGACCACAATGGTCACAATATCTAGTCGCATTACCTGTTTAGAATACTAGTATTATTTAGATTACTTATTGGCTTCGTCACTAGAGTTTAATTCTCCACTTATCTTGCATGTCTGTCAAGTCTTAGATGAGTAATTTTCTCCAGTACTATTTAGTATGTACAGAAAACACATGTAGAAAGTACTGAGGTTTTATTTTGCATGTCTTTGAATGATGTAAATTTTTGATACATCAGAAAAAGTACTGAAAGAAATCCTGTAAGCATAAGTGAAATGACTTTTTCTCTCCAAAAACAAGAACTTATAACTTTTGGATTTTATCTGTAATACCACAAAATTTACCGTGCCTTAGCCAGCTCAGACACATGGCATATGCCACCTTGATGCCAAGAAGAGTCAAGTTAAGCATAATGGAATGGTCAATTCAATTTGCTAAGAGTTGGATGACTATTTTGGTTCAATAACTGTAGTTGAATTACTTAGAAGACAGTTGCTGCAGCTGGGCATGGTGGCTCATACCAGTAATTCCAGCACTTTAGGAGGCCTAGGCACATGGATCACTTAAGGTCAGGAGTTCGAGACCAACCTGGCCAAGATGGTGAAAGCCGTTTCTACTAAAAATATAGAAATTAGTCAGGCATGGTGGTATGCATGTGTAATCTTAGCTACTCAGGAGGCTGAAGCAGGAGAATCACTTGAACCCAGGAGGTAGAGGTTAAAATGAGCTGAGATCATGCCACTGCACTCCAGCTTGGGTGACAGAGCAAGACTCCATCTAAAAAAAAAAAAAAAAAAAAAAAAAGCTGCAGGGTGACATTTGAGCTAGCCTTCTTATTTTTTTTCTTTAAGTGAAAAAAATTTAAATGTAAGAGAACAGTGGCTACACGCTACACGCTTGGGAAATTCTATCTCATTGTCTCACACTGGACAAGTGTCTTTGTGTGAGGAAGTTGTGCAGACCTGTCTGAGTTCTTAACTCAGGAAAGTTTACCTTTTATGGGAATTATGTTATTACTGCCACACAGAGAACAGCAGATTTATGAAAATTGTGTAAGACCAGATCAATATTTTAAAACAAACAAGAATCACTTGGTCAATGAAATCAGAACCAAAGACATTTTCATAAAACCAAATAGCTTAGAATCTCAGGTAGGTGAGATTCTGGTTTTTAAAATATATTTTCTATACTTGAGTTAGTGGGCATGCTTTCCTTTTATAATTAGAGGGAAAGTATTTTAGAAAAACAATATATTTTGAACAACCACAAAACAAACAAATGGCAGATTGAAGAGCTAAAGAATTGAGAATCATGAATTCCTTGGCATGTGCTTTGACTCCATTGCCTTTGATTTTTGAGTCTTAAGAATTCCTTACTATCATTTGACAGAACTATGCACCTATTCCCCAAAGGAAGTCTTTAAATTGCAACAATTTACCATCCTCAGACTATATACCTACCCTCTCTTAGCTGAATCTATAAACTATTCTATTTCAAATGCTATGTCAGCTTCAGAAACATTATTTTAGTCATGACAATTGTTCTTATTCATAATCTCACCAATGAATTATTCATTATTGATAGTTAACCAACTATCCCTTTCATTTACTTGCAGGAACCGGCTTAATTTCAATGATATGTGGAGGCCAGACTTTAGCATACTGTTTGTTCAAAGACAACTTTATCTATCCAGATCTGGATAATTTTTAACAGAACAGTTGAATTAATTTGCCTTAGAATTTCTGTATTATTACATACATTGTGTCAGAGCCGAATTTTATTTTTGGTTCAAACTTATATTCAAGGTTGAATGTATTCAGTAAAAAAGAAATTAATGGATGCAGAACAACTCAAGTAAAAAACTTCATAAGAAAAATGTTGAAACTTTTAACATGCACTGTTTCCCAAAGTGTGTTCCATAAAATGCCGGTTCTAAAAGATGTAATATTGCTGTGCAAAGGAGAAACAATTTCATGTTTATATGTGGAATCCTGGGTTTAAGTAAAACAGACTTATTTATTTCAGGACTTCTCTGAATGTGTATTTATTTATTTTGAGACGGGATCTCACTTTGTTGCCCAGGCTAGAATGCAGTGGCAATAATCAAAGCTCACTGCAACCTTTAACTCCTGGGCTCAAGCAATCTTCCTGCCTCAGCCTCTTGAGTAACCAGGACAACAGGTACCTGCCACCACACTTGGCTAAAATCTTTAACATACTATAATGAACAAGCCATCTCTAAGCAATAGTGTACATTATGCACTGTTTCTTAAATGTATTTGACCAGGGACACACTTTGGAAGCTGCTGATACATCCTGAGGAAAGTATAATGTAGTAAGAGGGCAGATTCAAACCTAATGTGAATCCCTGCAACCAGAATTACAGTCTATGATTACCCTCTGGTATTTGTTCTCTGTTAGAACATTTCTTATGAAATTATTTCCTTTTTTTTAGACTGTGGTCTTCTAACACAGTGCTTTTCAAAATTTAATGTGCATTTGATTTATCTGAGGATCTTGTTAACAATGCAGATTTTGATTCAGAGGGCAGGAATGGGGCCTAAGATTCTGAATTTCCAGGGGCGTAGGATTCTGAACTTCTAGCCATTCCCAAGAAATGCCCGTGTTTGGACCATACTTTGAGTAGCAAGGGTCTAAGCAATTGGGATCATATTTTTTTAAGTTGGCATAGTTCTGTATCACCAGTCCTCTATTTTAAAAAAATATAATTATTATTCCGTAAATGCCTGTTGAATTGGACGTAAATTGAAGTGAGTTAAGTTTTTATAACTGTGTTAAATATTTACCACATTCTAATGTAGTTAAAGTATCTCCTGATATAAAATAAGTGTCTACTATAGTAACAACTAAAGTATAAGGATAAGAAAAGGGACAGGAAAGTAACACTCCCTCAAACACACACCTACACAAATGAGAAACTAAACTAAACCATTGCTGAGATTTTTCTCCTGAGTCTTTTTGCCCTAAAAATGCATTTCTTCCACAAAGGCATTCATTCTCCCAATAAAAAATGTCATGCTGATTTTCTGTATTTTATGTGTCCTTCCAAAAACTGTGATGTATTGATCAGTTGCTAGTTTAGAAAATGTAAACTTACGAGGTACATTTAAGCTTGAAAATATGACACTGCCCCTTTGCTTCTCACATTACTTATCACATGAACTTTTGTATCCCATCCATTATTCCCATTCTTCTAGTTAATTTCTTCCAAAATGTTTGGTCATGGAAGTAACAAAATCTGCAGTTCACCTAATCAGTGAAGGGAATATGAATTCCTATTACTAATGAAGATTTTTATATCTTTTAAGGAAGGCAGTATAGGATAGCTATGAAAGTGCCAGCAATATGAGCTTTAATTCTCCAATTAAAACCCCCATTGACAGCACGCAGGAAAAAGTGCCTTGCCAGAGAGACAATGAAACTCAATTCTGCTCTGTGCAAAGTGCAGACATTAAACAAACCATGAATACACTGATGAGGAAGTGTGCCCCTGTAAAACTCATACTCTTGGATGAAATTTGCAGAAACACTAAAACTGCCTAAATACATTTGTTAATTAAAAGAGATTTGGTTGATTAAGTACCTTTTAATATAACGAGAATTAAGTTCTACTAGCAAATTAGAATAACAATCTCTCCAGACTCAGAAGGCCTTAATATCTTGTCATTCTGTAGTGTAGTTTAATTAGCATGTTTATTTCTAGGATTAGAAATCCACCTGCTCAGGAAATTACTATTGTGTTACTCCTTCATTTTATTTCTTCCAATCATAGGAATAGCCTGTTCTTTTCCTCTTTTACTCATTAAGATGATTACCATTGTCTATTTGATGACATCTCTTGACACAAAAAAATTTAAAATTCAATTAGAACACATATTTTAGCACAAAAATATTGTATATCAAACATAACAACTAAATGTTCACTTTAGTTTTTATTGCTTTAAATGATAAATAAAACCTTCTCAAAGGCCAAGAGTTATGTTTATTTAACTAACTTTTCTAGTGTCCCATATAAAAGCGTAAGTTGGTAGAATCCTACCCAGTATTTTGATGCATATTTTTAGTATTAATATTTTCATATTTTTAAGAATAATGTTATGCATAACTTCTGCACAAATATGCTTTAAAGTTATTATACCATTGTGTTATGTTTAAATCCATTTACATACTGCTGTAATAATGTTTTACTTAAAAAAATTATGTCCCAAATGAATGAACAGTATCTTTTCTGTTGCTGATAATAATCCCAAATATATATATGAGCACTATTTTCACATTTGCAGTATAAAGATCAGATTCCTATCTAAAATTTTATGGTTTTTGTTCAACCAATTTACCTTAATAGCTGAACTGATAAATTCTAAAGCTGTTTAGTATCACTAAAGCTGCAGAGATTATCCTATAAAATTGTGAACATATATAAGATAGATAATTTTGTTTATGATAAATATCTTACATAAGAACAAAGGCACTTCCTAATGTTGTTGCTTTATACACTTTAGAAACATGAGTTGCTAGGTAAGTAAATGCATAACAAAGCATCCATAGATAGAGCTGTGGTAAAAATTGTTGCAAAAGGAAGAAAATGCAAAATGGTTTATATGAAGATAATGTAATTATTCTATAGAAAAATTCAACTTTATAAAAAGTTATAAAATATGTAACTATTTGGGAATATTTCACATTTTTAATAGAGGGCAATAAGATGACAACTTTTCCATGTATTTTTTCTTACTTAGCTGTCTCTTACATTTTCTTTTATTCTGTAAATGTTTTTGGTTGTTCAGTAACAAGAAGCTCAAATACATCCTAAAAAACAGTTACCACTTGACTTCCTTCTTAGTGAAGAATATTGGCCACCACCATTCCCACATACCCAGTAATTCAAACAAACCAGAAATATTATTTCAACTAATTATTTTAAATGACACCTTTGTAAAATATCAAATTGTTAATCTAACCAATATTTTAAAAGTTGGTATAACATTTTATTGTTTAAAACTGAGTTTTATTTCTTTACTATGCCTGTGTATTTCTTGTACATTAACACTCTAGAGAGTACCACAGTATTATATTCCTTATTGTTTAAAAACAAAAAAATACAAAAAGTGTGAAGAAGAAAACCAAGTTAACTCATAGTCTTACAACTTAGAGTTAAGATAATCTCAGTCAGCATTTGTGTATGTGTGTGTATATGTCTATGTGTGTGTGCATTATTTGAATACTTTGGATTATACTGTAGTATTAAATTCTACTCTAAAACTTAATGTTATATTCTAAACATGATATTAAAAATATTTCAAACAGCTGTACATTTTTCTGCGATATATTATTATTTAATACTTAATATGGATGCTTGAATTTTTTGTATTTTTTCTCACATTAAGTAGATACACCTTAGATAGGTCTTCATTTGCATTCCTGGATATTATTTAAAATGAATCAGTAGAAGTAGAATTATTAAGTCATGTGGTGTGACAATCTTTTATTATTGAAAAATATTTCCAAATTTCTTTTCAGAAAGGCTGTACTTATTTATTCTCCCCTCAGAAGTTTGAGCATGCACACTTTGCTATATCCTTCCAACATTAAGAATGATTCTTTTCCACAATTAATATGCATCTAACAATTATATTTTTATGAAAAAAATACCAACTCCAAAGTTGTTGCAAAAATCTGATTTGTGTAATTGAAACCTAAATTAAAGTGGTTAGTAAGCCAAATCTAATTCAGAAGAATTTAATTTCATTCTACTTCTGAAGCAGCCTTTAACAACAAATATGGATTAAATGCCACTCTGCACAGGATGCCAGTTACCCATCCATCTATGTAGCTATTCACGTAACTAGCCAACAAATATTTATTGAATACCTCCTACATGTCAGTCAATTTTGCTAGGTCTTATAAGATCACGCTAGTCACTATGGGAAATATAAAAGCAAAGGACACATCTGACTTTTTTCCCAGCTCCCATCTTTTGGTTTGCCTAAGCATATCATGTCTCAAGAGGTGGGGAAAGGAAGATAGAAAGGAGGAAGTTTGTGTTGGAACTCTACCCCTATCTCTTATTAACTGTGTGATCCAGATGAATCTTTTTACCTTAACTTACAAGTGAATGGTACTTGTTAAATTAAATAACATTTAGCATGGTCAAGTGTAATAGGTAAAGCAGTGTGTCTAGTAATTGTCATATCTGTAACTAACTGCTTTTGGGTAGATGATAGCGCATAAAAGGAGGAGAGATTAAAGTATTTGAAGGCAGGAATATGGTTTTGTTCATTGTTATATAACCAACTTCTAAAACAGTGTCTGGTACATATCAAGTGCACAATAAATATTTGTTAAATGAGGAGAAAAAACAAATTCATTTTTCCTTGCTTCAAAGCAGTCAGCTACAATCCATCAAATTAGTTGCAAACTGGAAGACTCCAGGGAAGTATCAAACATGGGCACACCTGGGAAGGGACAGATCATTGCACTGATTCAGCCAATCAAAGTCTTTAATGTCCTAAGGAAACGACATGCATAGATTGACTTGGAGAAAGAAGATATCAAGTAGCAAGGGAGTAAAACGTTTAAACTCAATGTAATTGGACACATTGTACATTTCCAATATTCCTATTGAGAGCAGACTCAGCAAAACCAACACCTTTAATTCTAAACTCATTAGTGAGTAAAGCATATTTTACACAAGGTTTTTCGGGGGAGGTGGAAGAAGGGATTGCATTGCACTTGACAAAGCA